TTTTAATGTCAGATTTAATTAATATGATGTTTACCAACCTGAACCCTAACTCCATTAAAATTTCTATTCTCAAAATTTTACTTAAAAAAACTGCTACTTTTCATTAAAAAAACAACCACCAAAAACTCTTTTCTGAATACTGCACACTGGCAGTTTGCTCAATAACACGTCTCCCTGTTGTACAGATAAATAGAGGGTCACAAGCTGTGCTCTCTCTGAGGTTTTATTGACTTTCCCTTGGCTACATCCACACTTGGAGCAGAAAGCGGAGCAAAATACAGTCAATAAAAATCTGCAAGGTAAGACTGAAAGGCTGTGGATACAAACATGTCTAACATTTTGATGTCTAAATACTCAGGTGATGTGTAGTTAATAATACACTAGCAAAGACAAAGCATCAGTGGGTACGAAGTTAAACTGAATGAATTCATTTATGAACCCGGTGGAAAATCAATAATAAATATGCTTGGACCAAATCTATGTGTTGGAAAGTGCATATTCTCCAGGTACAAGTTAAAATTTAGAAATCAACAGCATTTTTTTTATTTTTAAAGTCGCCATGTCTAACTTTCTTTCCACAGCCTTGACAGCTTTAAATAAATAATCTGTATAGTACTATGAGTAGGTCTGTACATGTTCACATGAGGTACCTTAAAATGACTGATTCTGAGTGAATGCAAATGCTGGCCTTTGAATGTGCTTTTAAATAAGTTTACGTCTGCCTGTGCATCTATCTGCATGTGATTTTACGTGTGTATGGTCCTACCTGCCTTCCTCCATGTTTACAAGTGTGCGTGGATGTGAATTAATGAATATGAGCAGGGCTGCTTGGTCTGTGATGAAGTATTTCTGTCCTGCAGCTTGGTCTGGCAAAGCTCACCTGGACTCTAAGTCCTGCTGTCAGTTCCCATCTCCCTTCTCGACACCGCCCCCAGCCCACAGAGGGGACACTCTCTAACCTTTGAAACATCCGCGGTGGGCTGCCTGATTCCCCGTGACATGCAATGCTCACTCCCTTACAGCATTAGCATAGCAGCACAAACACCTTCCATTTGGCTAGCATGCGCAAAGGTAGGAGGGCTGAGGCTGAGGTCCCGTCACAACTCATCGTCTCTTTTTCATCCTCTGAACTGAGGCTGGGCGATGTTTATGTTGGTGAGGGGACCAAAGGCACAATGAAGCCACATTCAAGAACCAGGGGATGATGGTGTACAAATTCAGACGTACAAATGGGGCCATTTTTGCTTTAAAACCCCCAAAATCCACCAGCAAAGGAAAGTTTTCTTAAAAAGAATCAGCAAAGTCAGAGCCACCAACTGTAAAACAGGAAGAATTGTCAGATTTCCTTCTTCCAGATGGTCCTTCAGCGACTCATCTATGAAGTGCCGCACCATTGTGAAAATCATCCAAATCTAAGCTTAATTGTGATATTTTACCCAAATCGCCTTGATCTCATTTAAAAGTTTGCTAACCAAAAACCATTTGTACCACATTTGGTGAAAAACAAATAATTCTTTAGTCCTTGGCACAACTGGGGAGCCATCAGTGGCTCGGCTACATCCAACAGTTACATGGCAAATATTTAGGGACTTTAGGGCTAAACTGGCCTGACAAAGTAGACAGGAAACAAGGATGGAAACGGGGAAACAGCTATAATTTGTAGCGCCACCACTTTTTTGTGGACACTTGGAAAAATGTTCTAAATCTCGATTCCCTTTTTTCCCCTCAATTTTGTAAAATAAATGAATAAAAGAAATTCTTCTTCTTTTTTAAAATGATTTATGGCATTATTTTGTTAAAATTTTGTTATCAAAAGAAAATCTTAAGTTCTCTCTTCTTCTCGTCAACAGTGAGAAAAAAATGGGACAACAGTTTGGTGTTGAGATGACTGACAAACATAAAGAGTAAAATTATATGTGTCCCAATAATTGCTTTGACTTGCTTGACTTTGCGACACCTTTTCACAAAGTCTAATGGAAGGACAGTGTTTGTGGTTTGGTGACAAAAATAGTCAGAGATGCATCATCAGCCTCTCATCTGGTGTGCGTATTAAAGATCACAGCCAACGATGGCAACAATGGCATCATGCAGCAAAAAGATGTTTTGACTGGTGAACAATACACTTTGATAAACCTTGCTATAGTATACATGCCATTTTATGTGTCAAACACCATTGAAAAGTCGAATGAATATGTATGATGTTGTGTAGTATACGCGGCATCGCATCATGTTCGACTGCATGGCACCCTTAGTGTTTGGATGATGCAGCCCAACAATGTCTCACAGCGTATTGTGTCGCATCGCATCACGCATTGTATCAAAGCACAGCATTATATCGTATCATCCCAACCTATCCAACCTGTCACATTATATAAGACGACTCTATATATCATCATATCCCCCTTTCTGTCACTCCGTCAGCTGAAGCTCCTCCAGAATAAAAGATGCAGAGGTGTTAACTGGGTTAAGGACTGGGAGGATTACCTGGGCCTTTGCTGCTGCCAGCCTCTCTCACTGACTCACTCAGTCAGGGTGGCCATTTGGCAGCTCTAGAGCACAGCCAATCTGAGCACAGTGAGGGGGGGAAAAAGGCAAAAAAAAGAAAAAAGTGACAGAGAGCAGAGACAGGAGGAGTATTAGTTCCCTAACCTAGGATTTCACAAGACTGCGGATTTAGAGAGCACCATTCACAGAGAACCAGTCAGAGAGTGACTAAAGCCAAAAAGATGACACAGGAGATTGCAAACTGTGCAGTCGACTCGACTCCCCTCCTCGATCCCCTCCCTCTCTCGGAATCTTACTTTCTTTTTCCGTCCCACTCGTAGAGCAGCTACAAGCCTCTCACTCAGAGGCAAAGTGAGCCATCTTAGAGGTGCAATCAAAGGCAGCTTTTGATAAGCACCTCTGACTGGCATGCAGGGCCACCACAAGGTCACTGAGCTCTACTCCGACCGAGAAAGAGTCACAGTCTGCGCCGGCAACACATCAATTACTGCAGGCAACAAAGGATGAACTATAACAACACAATAACCTCCTCAGTCTGGGCACTGAGAGGGAAGCGGAGATGCTGTTCAGATAAGTGTTTCAATACTGAACTATAAGGAGAGAAAGAGGCAAGTGGAGGGCGGGGGGGGTGGAGGGTGCATGTTTTCTTTCTGAGCCCAGAGCTGCGTCCAGAGAGCAGCCTTGGCAGCGATCCATGTGTCCCTTGGCGTTAGTACTGCAGTCACATTACATTTCCCCTCTCCACTAGATCGCTGTGTGCCCAGCCGACGCTCCCATCCAGGACATGTCGTGTCCACTTTAGACTTTAGGCTCTCTGGCTCGAGCTTATCCAACAGCTAACAAACTGGAGCAGACTGCTGAGTATATAATTGTGTAAATAATTCAGGTCGTCTATGAATGAACGAGTTACGGTACGCGAGTTGGTGGAGATGCTGATGAGCAAACATACACACACACGCCATTTGCTGTACTATAAAGTGGAGGCTGCCGACACCGAGAGCGTTTGACAAAAATAAAAGCGCTTCGATGAGTGGATGGCTTCTGCTCCCCGTTCACATGCTTGCACAATTAAAAAAACGTTGTTCCTGTGCTATAATACAGAAAAAACTCATTGCTTTCGACTTCCTGCTTGCTGATACTGACAGCCACACTGAAATCCGCATGTGCCACACACTCCCTGTGCTGATCCTGCACCAATTAATTTCATGAATGACTAACTCGTGTTTGGTAACAAACTCCCAGTGGCTCTAGGCTTACCTCACTAGCCCCCACCCCTACACCCCCAGAGGAGTGGCACTGCCAGTAATAGTCACAGGATAATGGAGTCAAAAGCCTTGTGCCTATACTGCGCAAGAGGGAAAATAATTACAAATCCAGGATGTAAGATTAAAGTGAGAAAACCAGTTTCTGCACTTTTATGGTTTACCCGAAGAAAAAAAAAAAAAAGCCAAATTCATATGCACTCACTCTAATGCATTTCGATAACGCTGTCGCCGAGAGCGCAGGAGGTTCAGTGTCTTTGAGTGGCACAATGTCCGGGCTGTCACATAAACTGTGCCATTACCAGGATGCATGTCTGAGAACCTTTCTCTGGATCTGAAGTCTGCCTCGCTGAAGAGGGACTGAAGGAGGGAACATTTTGGACAATATTTTAGACAAAATGGCCCTAGAGAGAGCTGAGGCCATGTTGTCTAAAATGTTGATTAGTTTTGGCATGTGTAGAGATAGATTGCCTGCCATCTTTTCATTATTTCTCTGGAACCCCCTGGAGAGAGGGCATGGAGATGGACTTGAGCAGGCAAGGCGTAATTAAACTTCCACAGGCAGGTCATGTGCTGTTAAATGCTTTGCCACCACTTCTAATTACTGAACAGTGTAGTCTAAATGATACGCTGTCACTGGGCAAATTAATTGGTATTTGGTGAGGGCAGTATGGCACTATTGTCTCCTACATGTGTCATAGGCTCCGTGGGACCATGAGAGGCCTATGCATTATCTGACCCTGATTAAGAACATAACACGAGTTAAGTACATAGCAACTCCGGGTTACCCGCACAAGTCTCAAGCATTCATATAGTATGTAATTTCACAGCTTCCTGACCCCTCTGACATTTGGATACACATTTCTTAATTTGCGCTACACCAAGTGCTGTTTTCGTAATTTGGATTTGCCCTACATTTAAGAGACAGCTCATGATGTGAATTAAGGGAAAAGTCCTGCATAAACCATGAAGCAGAATTTTAAGTGAGGTGACAAGCAGTGCACAACATACCACTTCAACCCCACAACCAGCTAATATTAAAGGCAGAATAGCTCCTTCCGAATGCTGAAGCCTAACAAATCAAAATTCAAATCCAGGCCAACCTCTTAAGGTTGCTCAAGGACAGTAATATTAATATTAAAACAGCACGGATTCAAGCTCCGCAGAACGATGTGTGTGGATGCGTTTGACCTTTGAGTTTGTGTTTCTGGTGCCAGGACCAGCTCATCTTACCCCCAAAGTAGGAGCCGTCGGAGAGCTTGGTCTCTTTATTGCCTTTGGTTAGCACGCTGACAACCCCGTGTTGTATGAAGTACATTTTCTTGCCAATGGTGCCCTCCCTGATGATGTAATCCCCGGGCTGGAACACCTCAAACTTCAACTTGGTGAGCATGGAGGTGACAAAATTGGGGTCAGCGTTGGCGAATAAAGGCATGGATGCCACCAGCTTTCGACAGTTAAAGTTGATGATTTCCTGTTTGAATGAAAAGAGAAAGATAAAAATAAAATAAAATAAGAACAGCAGTACAGAGCCGTACTTTACAAAATGCAGTGACCTGTCACAATTTCAAGACAAGAGGGATATTAGAGTAACATCAGGCAAAATGTCAGCCGGGAAGACATTTTGTGTTTTTTCCTTTTTTTTTCTTTTTCTTTAAAGAAGTCTCTCAGTTTTACTCTTGTTTGGATGTGGCCATGTGGCCTCAAGAAAAAAAAGAAAAAACACTGTGCGCTTGTGTAAGAATTAAATGTCAGGAAATGTGAACTAAACTGAGGGGAATGTCAAGCAGTACACGAGCTTCTGAACGCATCACAGCAGCGTGTGCAACCAAGACAGAAACACTCGTCCCCACCTCTCGGAGCGGCTCGTTAAGCTCTCCCAGGATGCTCTCCTCGTCGAACATCTTGCCCTGGTAACGGTGCTCGTAGTAGTCGTGGATTCTCTGCCTCATATCTGCCGGCAGCTTGTGGAAGGACATGTACTGCTCCACCTGTTTGTACTGCAGGGACACAGAGACACACACACAACAATCGGGTTACTCAAAGGCCATACAGATGTAGCACAAACACACAGCCACTGGGAGCAGCTGGCACTGAGGTCAGGAGCACAAGGAAGTGGAGAGGGATACTTGCAGGCCGCTCTGACTCTTGCAGCAAGATAGCACTTTTTTGGTCTTTCATCGGGTCAGCTGCAACCAAATTACATGTTGCCTAAATGTACCAACTTGCTTAAGATATTGTAGGATTTAAAAGAATGTGAGAGTAATGGAAATTCAGGTTATAAAGTGTAAGGTCAAGCTGATGTTTAAAGTGCACCATATTGGCTAATTTGAACTACAATAATGTTCATGTGTCATGCCAAAGATTACGTAAATGTTGTAAAACCAAAATCAGATTTATATTATCTTTGGATAGTTTACAGACTGGAACCTAAGGGATTTTTTTGTGAATTTGGAGGCCACAATAAGTTGCAGAAATAGTGCAAAAGAAAGACTGATGATGAACATTATAAACTGTAAATAAATATGTATTTATGGCGTAAGAACATAGACAGTAAATACAGTGTATACATATAGTACATTAGAGCTAAAAATGTAAATAATTTTTTTGTAAAAATCACACTATAGATCAGGGGTGTCAAACTCTGGCCTGCGGGCCAAATTTGGCCCGCTTTGTAATTATATTTGGCCCGCGAGACAACACCAAATGACTACTAGAGCTGCCCCAGGTATTATACTGTACAGCGCACTCACTGCTAATACTACAAATCCCACAATGCCCTGTTGTTATTTTGGCACGTCAATCAGGACAGGACCCAGAAACTCCCTCTCCTCTGTGACAGTAGGCATAGCGACTTCACACTACAACTGTCACTGTGCCATTGATGTGTTTTTTTTATTTATAATTTGATTTTGCATGTCTTCACTATTAAGTTATATATAATGTATGGTAATAAGCGCTGCTTGTTCCATAGTCAATGTTGGTCCATATTAAAAGGTTCATTTGTTCAATGTTGGCCCGTGACGTTGTTCAGGTTTTAAATTTTGGCCCACTGTGTTTTTGAGATTGACACCCCTGCTATAGAAGAAGTAGTGTTTCTGTGCAAACTGTGTAGATCTCTATCCTCCAGTCTTTATGTTAATGCAACAAAAAAAAAAAGAAAAAAGAAAATGTATGTCATTGATTCTATAGAATCAGAAGCAGGGATGTAGATCAAAGCGAGCTGAGAGCATCTTGGGAATAATAACAGGTACAATCCTTGACCCACAGTGAAAGAAAACAAGGAAGAAAAAAGAAAAAAAAAGAAAGAAGAAAATTAACCATTCATAGGGCGACGCTGGAGGTGCTCTTTGATCACCATTTCTACGCAGCCAACAGCCTTACCGCTGAATGACACGGCTGACCTCAGATGTCCTCCTCTTTGTTATCTGACACTAGTCACCACTAATCTTGGAGGAAATCATCAAAAGGCCAGCCTTGTGGAAATATAGCACAGTAAATAAGGACAGCTGTCTCATGCAAGTCAGATTGTTTTTGTGAAAGCAGGGAATCTGTCGGGCTTACTGAAGATCAGGAGAAGCGCATACAGACCAAAGAACTAGAATCCTGTAATATAAAACACATAGGCAGACAAAAGTGATGCCAATGAGTCTGATCAAGGGCCGGCGAGGGTCTGCTGGTAAAATCTTCTATCCTTGCAATGACCTACTTACACCTTGCTGGATGTGTAATCCTCCCATTTACAGCTCCTTCTTTCTACAATGCTCAAACTCTCTTTTTTTACCTTCTTTGCCAGTTTTAGAGGAGTTGTAGTGAATCTGACCAGAGCATTTGAAGTCCCTCACAGACAGAGAAAACAATCTGGAAGCACTGTGCATATTGATGATGCGGCTCCCTCAATTGTGACCACTTAGCTACCAGCTGCTGCTCCTTAATGTATTGTTCGTCTCGGACAAGACATTTAGCAAGACAAGGCTCACTCCTTGAAATATGTGTTTAACACTAAGAAATCGCTCATATTATATACCTTAAATATCCAATCACCTCTTGAGAGAATGTCAAGCGAGGTGTCAGTTTCTGTGCTGCACTGTGTAAAGTGACCTGGAAAATTAAATAGTTGCACAAGCAAGAGCAAGATATGGAAAGAAGCTTTTAGATATCTGGCCTTGTGTGTCTCTGTGGGGAGATGAATGAGTTCTGTCATGGGGTAAGGGTTTGAGTCTTTATCCCCACAATCCCCTCGGCATAAAATTGAGCATTTACTGATGTGATGATGAAATAGAATCCTTCCACTGAGAAAAACTTTCGCTCCTTTCCTCTGCGAAAGAGAAAGCTCTAGAAAACGACTGCAGACTTCTCCCAAGTTCAGTCCCACTGGCTGCTGAGTAGTGCAACCGAGATGGCTTGTCTGCAAGTGACGCAGGGGTGAAGATGACAGGTGTAACCCACATTTTGAATGTTGTCTAATGTCTTTATGTCTCCTACATTAGACATGCTACAGCATGGTGCTCTGTTTCAAAGGCGTGGATTATCATCCCCACCAGAATGTCTCACATTTTACATTCATAAAAAAAAAAAGAAGAAAAAACAAAATACTGTCAGCATCTAATACATCCATTTATCCTCAGCTTTGCAGCACATTACAGTTTGAATCTCCCAGCATGAAAAGGTATTAGTCAAGTGAACAAATGCAAGATAATGTCCTCTTGCTTTTACTGTTTTGATGAGTACAAGTGTACTACATACAGAAGCACAATATCAAAGTCAAAGGCATTTCAAATTTATTAAGTGCAGCTGAGTCTCAGGGGAGGAGCTGACAGGGACGCAAAGACACCGACCATGGGGGGGCAGCGCTCTCCTGACGCTGTGACGGGCTGATAAAATCTCCCGTGACAGGAAATTATCTTATTGCTGTACAGCCACCATCACACTGCCACCAGAAGGATCCCCGCTCCCCTGCTCTACTTGGCCAAATCAAATCATAGTCAGCATTAAGGAGGTAATCATTTCACCATCAGATTTCCTCGCTGCAAACTGCAGGAGGGTGTGTGTGGAGGGGGGTGGGGGTTAAAGCTGCGGAGAAAAATTTAAAGATGCTGTAGATGACATTCAGAACCCCTGGATGACTCACCAGCACCTCAAACCAAAACAAATGGCCACATCTTCCCTCTCACTTTACATTTAATAGAAAGTTTCACAGAGGAAATGAAAAAATAACGAAAACTAGCATCATACAAAATGCATTGCACGGCCATGAGGAGTCAACTCAAACGGCATTATTTTAGCTTCGCCTGTCTCTCCTTTTGCTCTGCTGCATCTACTCTCTGATACACCATGTGTGTCTGGTTTACCATGAGTCCGTGAGAAGCCCCAGTAAAGGAGACGTGGTGAAACAGAGAAGATGAAAGTGGACAAGAACAGCAGAACAACAGCAGAATCTATCACTCTGAGTTTAAATAAAACAAGTACATTAGGTACATGACATTAATGAAACACCATTAAGTTCTTTGTTTTTAGGGGCAATGGCTGAACTTTCATTTTCACAATATACGATCTTGAGAGGTCACTCACAGTTTGTTTATAAATGCAAGAAGGGCCAGCAGCTGGGTATGAATGCAGCTGGGTGCTCAAACAATGAACAACTCATACTACAACACACACACACACACACACACACACACACACACACACACACACACACACACACACACACACAGGGTGTAACATCATTCTCTGATAAGGATGCCATTACTGCACATAATGTTTGCATAGAAAATACTTCTTTGCTGCTCAAATAATGTTCAAAATCTGCTATATAGAGCTTTTAAGAGTAGCCAATGAAAATCATCTTTCTTTTCTTTATTGATTTGACATTTTGGAAAAGACACAGATGAAAGGATGTCTGTACAGTTGCTGTCCCCAGTTAATTTTGCACAGCAGGAAACAACAAGTCTGGGTTTGTCTAAAGGTATCAAAATCTATTTACAGCTCCTCTAACTCCACTTGCCTTTTCCTGCAATCAGCAGTGTCTCATGGTGACAACAAGAAAGTTCCTGGGTTCAGCCAAAAAAAATTTATACAGGTCAACATGTACAGGTACACTATGTTAATGACAAAGCTTTAGAGATGCACAGAGTCAGGCTATGTGTTTCCTCCTGTTTCTAGTCTTTGTGTTCAGCTATCTGGCAGTGGGTGATAGCTACTTATTTGGTGTACAGACAGTAAAGTGGTTTTCACGTGGCACTCGGCGAAAAGGTCGCTAAACATTTATTTTCAAAATGCTGAATTCAAACAAAGACTTTCCCGACCTATCACCCAGCTTTAGTGATTTTAATACTGCATCGTATTTTGATGTTGACGATATAAACATCTTCCAATAACAGCGTGTATTCTAAAACATGTATTGTCCTTTAACCCTGTGAACTCAAAAACCTGGATTTAAATGCATGCTTTTTTTTTAATGACCAAAAATGCATCATTTATCAGAGGAAGAAACTGTAACATCAGGATAAACTGACAGTCCTTGAACTAATCATGACTTTAGTTATCATCGGGAAAAACAAAAAATGTGATTTTTTTAATTTTTTTTTTTAAATGTCACAAATAAATAATTTGCTGTAACCAGATTCTGTAAAAAACAACAACAACAAAAAAATTCACTGAGTGCAACCAATATGCAATTACTGACTCAGCTGCAATAAACAATCCCAAGACAAAAATTCAGGGATTTTTTTTGTCTGTACTCGGCTGAACTGCAGGCTGTGCTTAGCCTAAGTAGTTAACTATCTATAGTATGTACTCTTGTGGGCACTTGGAAAAATGTTGCACAAGCTGATTTCAGACGTTTTTCTTTTTTCGTCTTCTGTGTCATAGTGCACAGAAAGACTTATTATAGATCTCTCTACTTCTAGCAACAATTAGACAGTTTTTATAAAGATGCAGGACTCTATATTGTCATGAAATATGAACCCACATTGGGTAAAAATGTGAAAGAAGAAAA